TTTTTTTTTGTTTTTTTTTGTTTTGATGTGTACCTACCGGTAGCCCGAGGCTCGGCACGGTTCGGGATACCGGTAGGCTGAGCCATGAGCCTTGACAACCGGTAGGTACTGGTGGTTTAAGGTTCCCGCCTCAAGAAAAAGTCCCGCTCTGAAACTCGAGGGCGGCCATATGGTGCCCAGGCAACTTCGGCCAATTTTCAAGTCACCTCCCGGAGGTGACTTCAATTTTCTTGGAAACGGCGCCAACATGCGCTGCCAGGTAATTCAGCCCCCCGGTCCGGTGCAGGCAGCGAACTGAAATTCGAGTCACAATTGCCTACAAGGAGGAAAATTCCCTAACGAACAGGGGCGCACATTTTCCCGGTCCTGCAACGAGAGGGAACTGTAGGGTGTAGTGGAACGACAACGACATCTAGTATTTTTTAATTACGTTTTGGCTCAAGGGCGCCGGTAGGGCTGCCCTTGAGATTTTTTTCAAGTCGAAGGTAGTGGAACGAGGCCCTAAAGCTGGGTTGGAAACATACATGCAGCAGACCGTTGGCGCTCAAGCGCACGACGCACGAGAGCCCAGGGTAACCCAGGCCCGCCCAAAAAAAAACGTGTTGATTCGTCCCTGCGCCGTCCCCCAGCAAAAATTGTTTTCGCGCCAAATTTTTTTTTTTTGCGGGATGGGGTTAAGCACGGCCCAAAGCGATTTCGAATTTCGTTTTGGCCTTTGGGGGGGGGGGTGTTTCTTCGTGGCTGTTGGGCCGATAGTGGAAGGGCTTGGGGGGGCTGTTGGTGTTGCAGCCACCTCCAGTCCACTTGGAAGAAGCAGCGCTGTCATTCGGCCTCAAAGAGCAGCGCCGACCTCCCCCTGCGTTTGCACCATCACGTGCTCCGAAGCGACCGTACTCATCTTCTGCAGCCGCTGGTCAGCTGCCTCCAAGGTGAGTCTTCACCAGCCTTCCTGCCCTCCCTTGAACTCACCTCCTCCTTCTCCTCCAAGTTTTCCTTCTCCTCCTCCTCCTCTCCTCCTCCTCGTCCTCTCCTCCTCCTCCTCCTCCTCCTCTTGTCCTCCTCCTCATCTCTTCTCCTCGTCGTCACGGTGTCGTCCTTTCCTTCTTTTCCCATTGTATGGGGAGATGGGGAAAAAAAAGCTCGCCTCCTCGTCGTGTCCTCCTCCATCTCTTCTCCTCGTCACTTCCTCCTCCTTGTCACTTCCTCCTCCATGTCACCGTCCTCCTCTCCTCCTCCTCTTCCTCCTCCTCCATCCCTCCTCGTCAAGGTCTCGTCACCTTTTCCTTCGTCAGCCAGATTCTCTCTCTCTTTCTCTCTCTCTCTCGCACGCACAAAAACAACAACAACAACAACAACAACGACAACAACAACAACAACAACAACAACAACAACAAACAAACAAACAAACAAACAAGCCTGGCAGTGGATATTTCCATGTTCTAGCGGGAGATTCATTCGATTTTGCTCATCCTATCTATGGTAGCATGAGGCCAACGGCGAGGTTGAACACTTACCTGTTCTCTCTCTCACACACACACATACACACACACACACAACTTCTCTCTCTCTCTCACACACACACACACACACAGACACACACACACATACACACACACGCACACTGGGTGAAAGTCCTACGGAACAGTCTGGCACAATCATGCTTTTTTCGAGTGTATAGCGAATATGACAACACACACACACACATCAATCGGTGTGCCATTCAGCGCACTCTGCCATGTGAAATGCACCCGAATCTGGACATTTTCGTGGAGAGCTGCAGAGAAATGTAAGCTTGATCCAACCTCTTTGCGGGTGAAAATGGAAAACTGACGTGGAAGAGTGGAAAACGGAGGATGACGCGGAAGGGGGGGGGAAGGATGAGGTGGAAGGGTGGAAAGGGGGAAAGGATGACGTGAAAGGGGAGGGGGGAAGGCGACGACGGTGATGATGACAACGACAACAAGGGTGACTGTGACGAGGATGGAGGGAGAGGATGACGGACGAGGATGATGGGCAACGAGCGGGGAGGAGGAGGACGGAAGAAGAGGAGGCAGGACGACGATGATGATGGCGGGAAGAGGATGGAGAATGGAGGTGGAGGAAAGGGGGGGAGGGAAGAGGATGACGACGATGCACGGAGGAGGGAGAATGGAAGGGCAAGGAGGAGGGAGGAGGAAGGGAGGAGAACGCAACAAGTTGTGTATGTGTGTGTGTGTGTGTGTGTGTGTGTGTGTGTGTGTGTGTGTGTGTGTTGTCAAGAAACCCAAAACTCTCTTTCTCTTATTCCATCAACAAGCAAAAGAGAGAGCGAGAGAGGCCTACACAGTGACGACACATTAATGGCTGATACAGTGTGCGTGTGTGTGTGTGTGTGCGCGCGCCTGAGTGTGTGTGTAAGACTATGCAAGAACGTTTTCTTCTGGCTTTCACCACCCCGATAGTTTGCCCGAAGTGAATGTCACTGATGGATGAGGATTCACCACGTCCCCTGGAGCATGGTCCCACTAGCAATGGGATAGGATAGAAAAGGGTTTCTGTGACAAATGAGTGATACAAACCCTGCCATGCAGTACTCGTGATCCCACAACCAATATTTTACATTTATTACCCGAAAAAGTAACGAGATCATAGTTCCCCTCCTCCTCTCGTTAACACTGGGCATGCCCGTGCAAAGACAACTTCCTGTCAAAATTAAAAAAAAAAAAAAAAAAAAAAAAAARAATYTTTTCAATCCGTTGGGGGTATGGCCGACCCAAAAGAGGGTCGGGTCGGGCATAGGCCCACTAGAGATTTTCAGTATTTTACTTGTTGTTGTGCAATTATATGATTGGGTGGAGCCCTCCTTCAATCACGGAATATATGGAGGGCGTCATGATCACTGCTGACAGAAGTCGAGTTTATTCCAGAAAAAAAAAGTGGTAGTCACTTTGTTCACTGTTGTTGCAACCATCACCATCAGATCATTTGTGATCTGATGGCTGGGAAGCACTCTGCCGTGATTTCCGGTAGGAGGTCTCTATTTTTTTTGTTTTTTTTTGCCTTTCTCTTGTTTTCTCAGCCCAGAAATTCGTAATGAACCTGTCTGGCCGCCGCCACTCAGTGTCACACTGGATCTGCCACACTCCTATCCGACTGCTCCCCTTTTTTTTTTCTTTTTTTTTTTTCCGCAGTTTATCGATAGTTACGATGAACTTCCCCCATGATCCTAATTAGCCACTTACCTCACAATGGGGAAGGTTCTGTTGCAAAAATTCAAAACGAAATACCCGCATGGCAGGATTGAAACAATCACATACACAACCCCTAACGCCACTGCACCTCCTGCCGTGCCACGTGGTGGAACCCTATGTTTATAGCCAACGGGTATATGCCCACCAGAGACCTCAGTCGAATGAGAAAATAAAAAAGAAAAAAGTCAAGTCACAATACCCTCATGGCAGGGCTGAAAACAATCCCACAAACAACTTCGGTGCCGATCCCCACAACACTGCCTGCCCTGCCACGTGGCCAAAAGTGCGCTCAAGTAGGAAAAACTGAAAGAAAGACAAATCACAGTACCCACGTGGCAGGGGGTCAGACCAATCACAAGAACAGCCCCCATGCCAGCCCTCACAACACCCCTTGCCCTGCCACGTGACCAAACCTGTGTTTATAGAAACATAGAAAAAGTAAATTCGCCAATCCCACTTGGCAGATTGCTGTTTGAACACATGAGCAGACCTTACCCACCCTGTAGCCACGTGGCCAGATTTAGATACGGTAGAGCTAGCCTATCACATGCAACCGCATCCGATCTTGACAATCTGGCATTCACCATCCCATCCCATGTGGCAAATTACTGTTGAAACACGTGAGCAAACCTCATCCACCCTGTAGCCACGTGGCCAGATTCAGATATGGCGGAGCTAGTCTATCACATGCAACCGTATCCGATCTGGCAATCTGGCATTCACTATCCCACCCCTTCACGCCACCGTCCCACTCCTTGTTCCCCCACAATATAATGAGCACATAGATAAGCAGCCCCCCATGCAATCAACCACTCGTTTTCCTGCCCAAGTCGCGTTGCCTGAAATGCATCAAGATACTCACCCACCGATAGTAGGAAGAATTGTTGATACAGAATTCGACCCCTCTCAGCAATCTGTGTGATACCCCTGGGAGCTTGAGTCGTTGATTGAAAATTGAAAAGCTGAGCAGGCCCGTCAGATGTCTTCTTGTTGTCGACCAGAGCCTGCGTCGTTTTTGGTGTATCGAGGGTGCGTTTTTGGTGTATCGAGAAGCTCACCCAGCCCATCAGATGTCTTTATAATACCCGTGGCAGTTGGCGACGCTTCTTTAGATGATGTTGTAGATGCTTGATTGGTAAGCACTCCGACTCCATTAAATATCATCGAGATACCCACGGGAGCAACCCTTTGAATGGAAAAAACCCCCGATTCGTTTGATATCTCCGTGATGCAAATGGAAGCAATCATCGCAGACGTTGTAGTCGATATAGCGGTGATAATCCGAGATTCCGCTCCCGTTGTTGATGTTGTGTTATCGAGAATACCCATGGTGCAGAGCGGAATCATCGCAGTTGCAGATATTGTAGTTGGTATAACAGTGATAATTTGCGATACCGCCCCTATTGTTGATGTCATGTCATCAAGAAAATCCATGGTGCAGAGGGGATCACTCACCTCCATTGGCAGTGTAGATGCGGACTCCGCTTTAGATGATAACGGCGGTCGATCGAGAAGAAAGTGCCCATCCGCCACCATACTTGCTGGCAGCTCACCGCCCCAGCTGTTCACAAGTAAAACTCCCTGAGTGCACCCCTTCTCGAACAAATCGTTACATTCACTCGTGAGAGTATCCATCTGACTCTTATCAGAAAGAGCAACAGGCTGGAAATAACACTCCTCCTCCAGTTCCCCAATCACCTCCAAGATCTCCAGCATGGCTGCTTTCACCCGGCCAACGTGTGAGATCGTCCCCCCATCGATGTCACACCGAGCCAGGTCTGGCGAAAAGAGAGAAGCCGTCAACTCCTTCAAACGTCGTCGGACCAGCATGGAGCATGGAGCAGGAAGCACCCAACATTTCTCGTCCCTCCATCGTCCACAGCCTCTTATACTAGTCTTCAGTCGTTTACTTACCTATGTAGTCTCGTGCTGCTGTTGCTGCTGTTCAGAACGCAAGGACGCCTGCTATGTGCCAACCACAGGATGCCACCATCCTGCCCTTCTCGTCCAGTCACCTCACAGGTCAAACCCCGCCATCTCCCTTGTTTGACCTTCCTCACCGAACGACTGCATCAACACCTTTCGTCCTCCTCAATTGTATCGAAGGATCGGGTCCCAAGACCGCCGGGCCTGCCGTGCGGTTCGCTCCCCGCACGCTCGCGTTCTTTGCTAGGGACCATGCTCCTAGAGTTGACGATGCCCTGGCAAATTTCCTTGACAAATTTCCTCGACTGTACTCTGTATATGTGTGTGCATGTGTGGGTCTATGAGTGTGTGTGTGTGTGGGGGGGGGGGGGGGGGGGTCCAACACTGTTTGAAACTCGTGATCTGTCTTTGTTTAGAGTTACCCGCTGAATGGTCAACCTCCTGACGAGTCGGTGAAAGTCAGACGACCACAACTCTCTCTCTCTCTCTCTCTCTCTCTCTCTCTCTCTCTCTCTCTCTCTCTCTCTCTCTCTCTCTCCATCCAACAAAACAGAAAGACGAAGAGAATGAGATCCTGTTTTCCCCTCCTGTCCGTAAACCAGGGCTCTGTGCCGCGAGCGTAGCGGCGGCGGACCTGCTTGTTTCAAGTAAGGAAAAGAAAAGTACGCTGACATGAAATATGCCTGCTGTCTGCGAACTGTTTTTCTGCTCAAGTGTTCAAGATCGTGGGACAGGATCTGGGTAAACGTTAAGTGTGAAACCAAGGCACAGATAAAGCTTTCGACACTACCAACAGATACAAAGTTGAAGAAAAAAGGAAAAAAAAATTGAAAAAACCAAAAGAAAAAAATAATAAATTGTTGAAGCAAAAAAAAAAAACAAGAAAAAAAAAATATATATATGTTGAACTTTGTTGTGACAGTGACAATTGGTTTATTTGTGGGATGTGTCATTTGCTTTGTTTGACAGATAGGCCTTCCTCTTCCCTTGTCCTTTCTGTGACTGGATCCCTTTCTCTTTCTTTTGCCTCTGTGAGGTCTGGTTTCCTCCTCCCTCTCTTTACNTCCTCGACTGTGCGCTGTATAGGTGTGTGCATGTGGGAGGAACAACGAGCGGGGGTACTGGGGTGTTAACATTATTCCGTCCAACACTGTTTGAAACTCGTGATCTGTCTTTGTTTAGAGTTACCCGCTGAATGGTCAACCTCCTGACGAGTCGGTGAAAGTCAGACGACCACAACTCTCTCTCTCTCTCTCTCTCTCTCTCTCTCTCTCTCTCTCTCTCTCTCTCTCTCTCTCTCTCTCCATCCAACAAAACAGAAAGACGAAGAGAATGAGATCCTGTTTTCCCCTCCTGTCCGTAAACCAGGGCTCTGTGCCGCGAGCGTAGCGGCGGCGGACCTGCTTGTTTCAAGTAAGGAAAAGAAAAGTACGCTGACATGAAATATGCCTGCTGTCTGCGAACTGTTTTTCTGCTCAAGTGTTCAAGATCGTGGGACAGGATCTGGGTAAACGTTAAGTGTGAAACCAAGGCACAGATAAAGCTTTCGACACTACCAACAGATACAAAGTTGAAGAAAAAAGGAAAAAAAAATTGAAAAAACCAAAAGAAAAAAATAATAAATTGTTGAAGCAAAAAAAAAAAACAAGAAAAAAAAAATATATATATGTTGAACTTTGTTGTGACAGTGACAATTGGTTTATTTGTGGGATGTGTCATTTGCTTTGTTTGACAGATAGGCCTTCCTCTTCCCTTGTCCTTTCTGTGACTGGATCCCTTTCTCTTTCTTTTGCCTCTGTGAGGTCTGGTTTCCTCCTCCCTCTCTTTACCTCTTTGCCTTTTGGCTGTGTGCAAGTGGGTCCTTGTGACACACAGGGATGGGGGCAACCAGCACTCAACCTGTCATCCATGTGGCAGGCCTTGTACGTAAGAGGTGATAAACAGGCGGGGTTTTCCTTCCTTACTTCCTTTTTTTGTTTTGTCTTTTTTCGCCTTTATGCTCTGATTCATAGTGTGACAATATATATACATATATATATATATATATATACATATATATATATACATACATATATATATATATACATATATTTGTCACCTCTTATGTATAAGGCCAGCCATATGGATGACAGGTTGAGCGTTGTCTGCCCCCATCCCCGTGTGTCATAAAAACCTACTTGCATGCAGCCAAAAGGCAAAGAGGTTATAAAAAAGGCGAAGGAAACCAAACCTCACAGAAGGAGAAAACTTATTAAATAGACAAGCGTGTGTCGCATCCCACAGATAATCCAATTACCATCCCACATAACATTTTTTTTTTTTTTTTTTTTCCAGGTTTCGTTTTTTTTTTTTTTTTTTTTTTTTTTTTTTTTTTTTTTTTTTTTTTTTTTTTTTTTTTTTTTTAATCTTTTTACTTAGTTTGTTTTTTTATCTGTTTCTTCTAAACTTTATCTGTCACCCCCTCGACTGATGGGACAACTGCGGTGAGGATGACGAGGATGTTCACAGGGATACCCAAGGAGGGTTGCGCTAGCACAGCATTCAGCCGGACGCCTAGTACGAATCATCCCATCAAAATAATCCTGACAGAGGACATGTTGCCCACATGTCAAGAAAACAGCAGGACGTTCGTCATAGTGCGGCATCATGCATTTCTGATAATGTTCTTGGGAACAAAAGGGACAACATACATCTGGGTGATAGGGATGTGCACACTGAGGAAATGTTAGACACCCTTCCACACATACGGCGACAGTCGCAATGGATTGATAATGGTGCTGACACAGATAATGCATTCCACAACCAAGATGCACCACGTCCCTATTCCGACAAATGTCGCACGAGAGACGCTCAACAATCCATGATTCGACAAACCTTGCAAGAATTCATTTATGTTGACAATAACCTGAATCACCGTCCTACCGTCCCACAGTTCCCACTGGGCAGCTGCACGAATGAGTGTCATATAATGCCCGGGTTTGTGCAAAATCCATGTAGAAATATGAGGACGGGCATTAAGGTCCTCGCCTGGCGTCGCATAATGCATAAGAAGGTGGCGACCGTGAAATGCTAACTGTAAGACATTTATAGTAAAGCCTCTTGAGGTAGTATAATTACTGTCCTCAAGGGGTAGACCATTATGGTCATACCACAACTCATTTTCAACGGCATCAAGCTGATAAGCAATTGTAAGAAATTGAGATACAGTATAACCTTGACGCTGATAAGCTTGCAGACAAACATTCGTGGCTGTCAGGCCACAAATGTTTTGTAGATCTGCTCGCAAATCCGAATCGGTCACCACTAGAAGGCCCGGTTTGATTTGGCGCGGTTGGTGTTTAATTGACAAACGCCGTCGACGTAACAAAGCAGGTCGTCGGTCAGACAAGGAACCAAGCAGTTTATGATCAATACGATGCCGAGAGGAAGGGGGACTAGGAGGAGGGGAGAATGAACGAGCCTGCCGCCGTCCTAATATAGACAACGAAGATAAGGGAAGGGCTGATCTCGGTCGACGGTGTTGAAAAAAAAAAAAAAAAAAAAAAAAAAAAAAAAAAAAAAAAAAAAAAAAAAAAAAAAAAAAAAAAAAAAAAATTGATTGATTGATGGATTGATTGATTGATTGAGTGATTGATCAATTGACTGATGAATTGAATAGGCTAACCTAATTATTCCCCATTTTGCAATTCAAGACCTAACTGCCGATTCCATTGTTTTTCAGGTCCCAGGCTGGGCGCTGGGCGCCATAAAGTATGAGCGACATTGGATATTTTTTGAATGACCTTTGGACGTAACTACAGTCAGATACGTTATGGTCCAGCTACAATTGCAGACTGATACAGCCAGGAGAGTCGTAGTGTGAGTATGATGTCAGGTGGCTGCTGCAGTGTGTGATTGGGTTTCTCGTCATTTTTTTTGTTTCAACTTTTTGTTATATTGTCGTTTTTTTCGGTCTTTTTAATGGGTACATCTCGCACCTGCTGTTGTGTGTGTGTGTGTGTGTGTGTGTGTGTGTGTGTGAGAGAGAGAGAGAGAGAGAGAGAGAGAG